ATATATATATATATATATAAATCATATAAGTTAAATTTTTTGAATTTGATTACCATATTGGATTTACCATTTATATCTTAAATTTGTACTTCAAAAGTCAGAGCCCCAAAAACTTTATTTATATTAATATTCAGTAAAATGTTTAAAAAAAATTTGGGTAACAAAGAATTAAAAAAATAACAATCAATTGCTAGGCAACAATACTTTTTTGCAAAACTCATTGGAAAAGTTTTGATTGTACTCTTTGAGTATTTCTTTAAAAACTCTTTTGCAAAAATATTAAAAGTATTATTCCCCGAGAACATTGTGTTGTCAGAGTACAGTGGTTATAAGAAAAATATTAAATTTGTAGAATTTAAAAAACTATCGGTCAAACTTATAATATTTTCTATTAAATATGTCTAACATTATTTTCATTAAATATGTCTAACATTTGTATATTTTTATTGTGGATTTTTCAGACAATAGATAATAAAATAAGAAATAGATCTCATGAAATATCTTATGTGGAGCCAAAATGCATTAGCCAAAATACTGCTAGAGATTCAGATGTAAAAAATGAGATAATTTCCGATCAATGCAATGTTGATGTTGGCAGTAAAGCGTGTTTATTCGAGACTATTATTTATATCACATCTAAGCAGGTAAATACCTGATATTTTATATTTAGTCATTATAATATATAAATATAAATATCTAACAAATAAAATGTATGAAAAGTTTGAAGAAAGTAATTTAGCAGAAAATGAAAGTACAAATCGATTGCCGGAAGATTTTGCTGAGATTGAGGAAAGACTGGGATCTACTGATTTATCGACGAATAATATTGTTTCAAGCTCTTCTCAAGATATAGTTAATAATCATGAACAAGTATCATTCAAGGATAGTATAACTTATTTACATCAATTAGATAAAAACAATTTTACCGTTTTACCTCGAGATAGAGAATCTAGTGTCGAAACTCAAAACAATGAAAACATTGTGAGATCAAGCGACTCAGATATAAGTATATCTCAAGGAACTTGTAAAGAATCTTCGATAAGCAACATGAAAAATTCATTAAATACAGAAACAAATTTATCAGCTTGTAATTCCAGTGAAATTTTGATGGACCAAAAATTTCTATGTAAACAAATAAGCAAAGAAATTATTAGTGAAAATAAAAAATGTAATAAACCATTAAGTGATGATGACAATCAATTGTATATAGAACTCTCAAATTCAGGAATATTGAAATTTGATGAGCCTCGATATTGTAATAATATCAGTTTAGCCGGTATAAATTTTAATCATACCATGAAGTCCTGTCATTCTGAAAACAACACTGAAGTAATATGTACTTCCAAACCCGCTATGCAGAATCAGGAGGGCTCGTTGCGTAATGAAGAAAATATTAATAATGCCAGTAGCACAATGTTGAACAATGAAGAACCAATGTTGCGTTTAGTACAAACAGAGACTGGTGAGCAATTTTATGAATTTATAATAAGCAATTTGGTCGAAAAAATGCAGAACGCTTCATGTGCAAAGGATCTAGAAGATACATTAGGAGATCCGTCAGATGCCTTTAGAAACAGTCAAAAAATCAATTCAAGTCCAAAAGGAAATGAAAAAATCAATCAGATAGAGCATCAACAAGCTTTGGATGGTCTTGATATAAATAACGAATTTAATTATACACAATTTGATTTTAATAGAGAGGAAAAAAATTGTGCTATTTTAAGGCATGATGTAACTGAACATTTTAAACAAAATTCAAAGAACGAGTGTGTAAGTAATATGCAGGAAAAAAATCAGATCTACAATTCTGGTAACTTGGAATTACTGGAGAACGAATCACATGTAGATTTTGACAAGTACGTCGAAACTAATCTTGAATCGTTTGAAAGACTGAATTACGAAAATTGCAATGAAAAATTTTTGGAATTCGTGGAGGTTGCTGATATTGGCATAGAATCCTCAGGTTACAAAGAACTTTCAATGGTATGTTTGATTCAAAATGATGGTGAACAACTGTTGGAATTATTGCAGGATTCTCAGGCCGAGCAAGAAACAAATCAAGATTTTATACAATCTAATAATTTCAAAGTTAGTTCAAACATTTTGCAAGATAGTGATAAAATAGCTGATTGTCCCAAAAGTAAATCAGACTTCTTTACATATGTCGAGGATAATGTGCCATTAGAAGAAGGTATAAATAGCAACCGAGGCATAAAAAATATTGAAAAATGTACAAATAGCAGTAACCAATTACCTACAGATGTAACGACTACTGAAGATGCAAATAATAAGAACGTCACCACGTCAGAAGAATTAAAAAAATCAAAAACAATTTCAAAAAAGTTCCAATGCTTAGTATGCAAGAAAGCATTTTCAACAGCATACAATTATAAACAACATATTGGAATACACTTTACCGATCAGCAAAAATTTCATTGTAAGGATTGTGGGGTATCCTTCGCTTGGAAATCTACTTTGAACAAGCATATCGCAAACAATCATAGCTCAAATGGCCCACAAAAATTTGTCTGCGAGATCTGTCCGAAAGTCTACAGCACCTTATCACAAGTAAACGTAAGTCTATCAATATATTAATTAACATTCGCTTTAAGTCTTAAGAATTAGGCCAGTTGGATAATTTTAATTTTAATCCGTTTGTATTAGACCGAAATCTAATCTCCATTTCGTATTTTTTAATACTCCTCAATCTCCAATGTGTAGTTTGATATAGACTTTATTACAGTTAAGAATTTTATGGATTACGGATTCATTAATAATAAAGATGACGTATTCTATTTTACATATATTCACCTTTAAAGTATATAATCTTTAAATTTAAACCTAGACAATTTTTTGAGGCTCGTATTCAAATTAGTA